GCAGGAGGTAATTAGGTTTTTATTTATTTACTCATTTTAATGGAGGGACTGGGGATTGAACCCAGGACCTCGTGCATGCTGAGCATGCCCTCGACCACTGAGCTATATACCCTCCCCTCAAGACATTTGCAGCTTTTAAAGAAAAATATGAGATGGATCATTATGTCAAGTAAGATGTAAACAAGTGTTTCCACAAAATATTGCAAGCATTTTTCTTGAGAATTACGTGAATGTCTGATACCATTTTTTCCTTGTGTTAATCAGTGTTATGATGCTTTAGTCAATAATTACTTATTTAATAAAAGAGTAATATGGAAACTGTTTAACATATTTTAAAGGAACACTTTGAGTAATGAAGTGTTATGATATTTATGCAGAATTTTAAAAATCCGTATGTTGAAGTTGATGGAAGAACGTTTCACATATTGAGGTCTGGGGAGGTCATTTTGGCTTATACACGATTTGGTCTGAACTCTCTGCTAACTAGAACGATCCATCTCATGGCCTGTCAAGCATGCATGGTCCATCTGCTTTAACCATTGAAGCAAAGAATGCGTTTGAAAATCAAAATGAAGTAACTTGGATTCAGGCATCCAAAATGGAGCTGGGTGGCCTGCATCACAGAAAACTTGAATTTTCTAAATGGTGTCACCCTCAAGGACACCACCAGCCCTTCTCAAAACCGTATCTGCGAGCAGCGGCCAGCTGCAGCCTGATGGTCTGAAGGTCTCCCCTTGTTACTATGCAGCCGTTTTGGACTCCAACCAGTCCTTGCTTGACAAACATCCTCATGTCCTGCCAGCTCCAGTCCTAATTCTTGACAAACAACTTATGTAATTTTGTGGGTTTTGCCTTTATAAGCCTCCTCTATTTTGTGGTCTAGCAGAATACAATTCAAGTGCTTCTGGGTTGCAATCCTCAGTTTGCCTCAAATAAAACTCTTTTTTAGCCTCTTGTAGACTGATTATTGATAATTCCCATCAACAAAGTCCTAACCCTCGTACCTCAAAATGTGACTGTATGTGGCGACAGAGTCTTTAAAGAGGTAATTCAGGTTAAATGAGGTCGTCAGGGTGGACCCTAATCCAATCTGACTGGTGTCCTTATAAGAACAGGAGGTTAGGGCGCAGACAGAGGGAAGCCATGTGAAGACGCAAAGACAAGACGGCTATCTGCAAGCCAAAGGGGAAGCCAGCCCTGCCGACACCTTGATCTTGGACTTCCTTCCTCCAAAATCATGAGAAAATTGATTTCTGTTGTTTAAGACCCCAGGCTTTGGCACTGGTGGTGGCAGCTGGGCAGACTAATAATATGCATGCACATGCTCATGACTTAAGTTTTCCCCGGAGAGCAAAATGTGGGGCAGACAGCCGGTCTCCGTGGGCCTCCCAACCCCAGAGGGTAAACCAGTTTGGAACACGGGATTAACACACACAGCGGATTCCCCCGAGTTAGAACTCGGCCTGGCATGAAAATCTCAGCCGTTGTAACAGTACCTGGGGAAACAAACGCTCCCCTCTTTCTCAGCTGAGGTGCAAAACTTCAGAATGGAGGTGCCATATCTGTGTGCTGTGTGGCAGCTCACACAAGCCCTTTCCCCTGGATCACCCGATCTAACCGCTACACAGGCAGGCAAGGGAGGAATCGCGGACACGGAGAGGGGAGTTCTGAGATGGAAAGGAATGTTCCCAAGGCCGCACGGCAAGGATGTAACACAGATCCAGTTCCAGCCTCCTTTTATTCTCGCAGGTTATTCTCAAGCCCAGTGCTCACTGGGCCCACCTGGGGAGATTAAGAAATTTTGAGGATCTGTATCTCACTCCCAGAAATGCTAGTTAAGTGGCCCTGGGGGGGCCTGGGAAGGGCTTTCAGTCTCCCCGTGGTCCTAACAAGTAGCGGGCTTGAGCACCACGCGCTTAGCGGGGGCCAGCCCAGGCATCTCCCACCTGTCTCAGCCCCCAGACCTGGGGGACCCTGGAGAGCTCTAAATCGTCCCTGCCCAGCCCCACTCGCCACTGGCCTGATTTCACTGGTCTGTTCCGGGTACTCCCAGGAGACTCGGATGTGGCGCCACGGTCTAGAACCTCTGCCCTCGACACGGGTCACCCGCGGCCGGCGGGAAGATCTCCAGCACCTTTCTCTCTCCAGAGCCCTGCGATTCTGCTCCAGCCTCTCCTCTGGCCGAGAGCACACGGACTAGACTGAGACCCCGGCAGTCTCTGCCTATCCATTCATTCTATTATCCGATGGTTCTCACTGAGAGGATGTGTTTGCCGTGTTGGGTTCACTCGGTACTAACAATGCGTGCATGTCCCTCCTCTCCGTGCAGGGGTGTACCGTGCCACCAGGTTACTTCTCAGCCTCCCCACGCCCCTCCTCACCGAGCCCTGCCCTCGAGAGCTGGCCTCGGCCTCCGCAGCACGTCACCAATGCCCAGCTCTTCCCTGCAGACGCACGCTCGCCCGGTCGGTTGCTCCCCTCTCCCAGGCGCCGTAACTGCCGCGGCTCGGAGCGCGGGGCGCTCGGCTCCCACGCGCTGCGTGTTTGCTCTGCTCTAGTCACCAAACTGCTAGAGGAACTTTGACCTCTGAACTTTGACCTCAGCCCCCCACCTCCCTTCCTTCCAGGGCATTTGACCCAATCCACCGCTCTCAGGAGAAGCCACGTGACATGGAAAACAGAAACAGAAGCTTCTCCCCTCCTTACAGGCCTTCCTGTCAGACAGACCAAGGTGGCCAGTCCGCGTCCCGTGTGAAAGGATGTAAAAGGCCGGATCAGGTTCAGGCATCGGGGAAGCCCGTGGGGCCGAGTGCCAGACCTGACGGTCCTGGGCTGGGGCCGAGCAGGTGACCACAGCCCATGCCGGCTGCCTGCAGGCCTGGGCACCGGTCAGGTGGTTTTCAAGGCAGAGGCCGTCCTTTGCTCTCAGTCATGGCCCGGCTCTAAGTCAGCACGCGGCGAGGTCCCAGCCTGACGCCCCCTCCCTGGTCCTCCCTCCCCCACCTGCCCCTCCCTGGCCTCCCCCTTCACCAGCCGCTCCTTCTAGGCACCCCTGCTCGTCCCGGCTCTGTGCTTAAGGCTAGGACAGCAGCTGACGCGTGTATAAGGCTGATAATTGCGGACA